CATTTTCTTACACGACTTTGGTACATAAGTTGGACGACTTAAAGCAAGCCAGAACAACAATTCTCAGGCTTGATCCATATCTTGACGCTGGCGATTGGTACACGCAAACGATGGAGAAAAATCACCGGGTTGAAACTTTTCCGAGTGATCGCCTTTTGATGCATTTTCAGAGGAATGTGTTGTTCTTTGTTTTTGTTATTTTTTTGTTTCCAGATGAATGTATCTCCAAAATAATCTCTTCTACAAGTCCACATGCCGCTTCCGTTTCGAAAACCTTTGGATCGACGGTCAATTCCGATACCGTATGGGAGAAGTTTCTTCCGCGGGAATTCATCTCTGATTCATTCATTGAGAAGAAGAAAGTGCCTTATGTCCCTCAATGTGACGACTTTGTTCTAATCATAAATGGCAAAATGGTATATCTGATTATTTAAGTTTTTTTTTTAGTTTGTGATACCATTAAGGATTTATGGCTAATTGAGTTTTCTATTTCGAGAATCATAGAGTTTCTGCTTAGACAAAGCGACTGGGAAGAGGTGTATAATGTTATCTGGCAATGAACTCGATCTCACATTTTCTTGCTTTTGGGAATTGATCTCAATTCCTGAATCTAGGTAACTCTTTTTTTGTCTTTTCGTTTAATTGGATTGACATAGACTCATTTTAGAAATAATATCCCACAAAGGAAGTCAGATGGAATCTTGACTTTTAGTCAATTGGTTTTGAGTTCGAAAACTCATTAAACTTAAACAGTTCATTTCAATAACGTTGCACGCAATATGTTATGAAGGTTTGACAAAGTACCAGAGCTTACCTTTGGAGTTCCATTCAAGATCCATGGTGTGATGAATGCTCGATTCCTATCTCCTGGAACTCGTTACTTGGCTTACGTAGTGTACAAAACAAGGGATCCATTTCATGATCATGACAAACATGTCATTGGAGTTGGATTGATTGTACATAGAACTTCTGAAGGAGAAAAGTGGGAAAGGAATTATCTAACGAAACTAAAGGAGAGGGAAGATGGGTGGATGGAGGTAGAGTTTGGAGAATTCTTCAACGAAGGAGGATTGATAGATTATGATGAGATTAGGTTTCATATTTATGAAATTGACTACGCCTATTGGCAGCCTGGCTTCATCATTCAAGGAATTGACTTCCGGCCTTCGCAAAAGCTGGTAAACTAAGAACAAAACCATGGAAGAGCGTTTTCGATCCGATTATATGTTTTTGTATCCATCTCATGCCTATACAAGTATAAAACAAAAACATGTTGTAACACGAGTTTTAATGTTTGTTTTTTCGTATAATATTTGAGTTTTTTTTTAAATGCTTGTGTTTAATGATTTTATCATTCTCACATGAATCAATTTAATAAGAGAGTGTGTTCTTTGAATCAGCTACAATCATAATTTTGTAGACTTTATGTTTTGATTAGGGATCACATTTTAAGCATTGTGGTAAAGTTGTATTTAGTGCATTATAGAAGCGTGGATTGATCAAAAAAAAAAAACCTAGCTGTGA